TTTAGTATTTGTTATTTAAATCATTTTGCCGTAGTTAGTGAACTACTATCGTGTGTCCGAGCGAGCACCTGCTGTTCAGATTAATTCAACTTGATTCAGCCGCGAGCAGTCGGAATCAGAAGTTCGACTATACTAGCTGGAGTGCTAAGACTTGTACCGTGCTATCTTGAGGTTATCTTGAGATGATTTCGGGTTTTTTTTACTGTCCCCGCGGCCCGGTCCTGGACCAGGCCTCCACCCCCCAGGAAGCAGCCCGTGACAGCTGACTAACACCCAGGTACCTATTTTACTGTTAGGTAACAGGGGCATAGGGTGAAAGAAACTCTGCCCATTGTTTCTCGCCAGCGCCCGGGATCGACCCCGGGACCACAGGATCATAAGTCCAGCGTGCTGTCCGCTCGGCCGACCGGCTCCTACAATTCCTGCTACGGATTTTAACATAACTTTAAACTATTGTGCCTTTGTATTATTATTAAGTTTTTTATGAATAAATGTTATTGTTTTAAACGACAAGTGCCTTTCCGTTCACACCTTCTAAGACTCTTGTCTCCGGTTACAAGATACAAGACTCTGTCTTACACTTGAAGTTGATTATATGTTGCTCTGGATACTTGGACTCCAGCACATTTCATAGCCACACACACAACAATAAATTTGGTGTGAGAACCTATCAGAGCTACCCCTCACAGCTGCCTTCAGCAGTTTGAGGAACTCCATGACTCAGTGGATTTAGAGTGCCATGGATTTGGTCTCTGGCGGCAGCTCTATGCCACCTATTCAGTCTTAAAGTAACAAGACGCACGCAGAGCACTTAGTGCTGTGTATGCAGTCCTTTCTCACTGAGGTCACTATCTTGCATTTTGACCAACCCCATTGGCAGTAATCTCATAATGCCCCAGTGACTTCATCTACGTGCTGTCAGTGACCCAGCGGCTACATCTACGTGCTGTCAGTGACCCAGCGACTTCATCTACGTGCTGTCAGTGACCCAGCGGCTACATCTACGTGCTGTCAGTGACCCAGCGACTACGTCTACGTGCTGTCAGTGACCCAGCGGCTACGTCTACGTGCTGTCAGAGTCCCAGCGACTACGTCTACGTGCTGTCAGTGACCCAGCGGCTACATCTACGTGCTGTCAGTGACCCAGCGGCTACATCTACGTGCTGTCAGTGACCCAGCGGCTACATCTACGTGCTGTCAGTGACCCAGCGGCTACATCTACGTGCTGTCAGTGACCCAGCGACTACGTCTACGTGCTGTCAGAGTCCCAGCGGCTACATCTACGTGCTGTCAGTGACCCCAGCAACTACGTCTACGTGCTGTCAGTGACCCAGCGACTACGTCTACGTGCTGTCAGTGACCCAGCGACTACGTCTACGTGCTGTCAGAGTCCCAGCGGCTACATCTACGTGCTGTCAGTGACCCAGCGGCTACATCTACGTGCTGTCAGTGACCCAGCGACTACGTCTACGTGCTGTCAGTGACCCAGCGACTACGTCTACGTGCTGTCAGAGTCCCAGCGGCTACGTCTACGTGCTGTCAGTGTCCCAGCGACTATATGGTGATAGAAACGTTGGGGGTTAACATTTTGCTTTAGAAGTGAAACTCTGGATATTATTCAAGTGTTGTGTGAGAGAGAATGACTTGTCATGGCCAGCAGAACTCCGTCATCAACACGCCACAGCCTCGCCACAGCCTCGCCACAGCCTCGCCACGCACCAGTTGTTGCGGTATGACACCTGTAGTAAGGCAACCCGTTCTCGCACTTGCTTATAGTCAATATTGGCTTATTTAATAAGTGCATATGTGACATACTTATTGATTGTGAATATTTTAGTTTACCTTGAAAAGCTTCATAGAAAACACCGACCTCACCTAACCTTCTTAGTATGTTAAGATAAGCATCTTATTGCTTCTTAATTACAATTATTACCTAACCTATACCGTTGATAGGTTAAGTAATAATTGTAAATAAGAAGCAATAAGATGCTTATCTTAACATACTAAGAAGGTTAGGTGAGGTCGGTGTTTTCTATGAAGCTTTTCAAGGTAAGCTAAAATATTCACAATCAATTAGTATGTCACATATGCACTTATTAAATAAGCCAATATTGAGTGTAAGCAAGTGCGAGAACGGGTTGCAACAGGTTATTTTCAACACCTGCTCTTACCATACGACATCAGATGTGGTCATGCTTGTAACGCTTGTATTGTAGGGACATGCTCTTACCATACGACATCAGATGTGGTCATGCTTGTAACGCTTGTATTGTAGGGACATATTTATGTTTACCAATCTACAGTATCCAAATACTCTCCAAGATATAAAATACATTATCTTAGTAGTCGTGTTAACTTGTAATTCTGCTAAATAGACATTGTTTGCTAATACCTTGTTTTTGAGTGTGGTCATTTATTATGCACCCCATACCCGGCTCTTACTTCGTTATCTTTACTAACGGCTTTAAGGAATCTCTTGTTAATGAAAATAAATAATGTATCTAACTCTTAATCGTTATTTTTTTTTATTTTCAAACCTTGTAATATTATGAATTTTATTGATTTCTTTAATGTATGACGTGAAATACTTTACTAGACATAGACACAGCACCTGATGCCCGCGGCCTCACAACAATGATCCACAAACAACTTCAACATTGTATTATTGATATGAAACAGAGCCACATGTACACTAATAATTACATATATCGCCAAACTACCATGCAAGAAGAACCACATGTTTCCTGGTCCTCCGGCAACTTCAACACGCCCTGCAATCTCAGCTTGAACTCTGCCATAAGTAACTCTAGGAATCTGCATCATCCTTTTTTTTCAAGTTATTCGTGCTTGGTGGAGTTCTTGCATGAACCCACATACAAGATCCTGACACTGCATCCGTTGTCTTGTGGTCACTGTATGAAATCTGCATAACTCTCTCTAATTATTATCTTAATCTGTGCTAGACTCTGTGGTATGTAAATATCTACATGATATATGAACCCGTCCTTAGACCAAATTCATTACCATTAGAAACCACACTCACTCTCAAACCAACTGGATAGTTACCTAGATATTTGTGATGGTCTGAAAGCAAATTAAAGTTCCTGTAATAGACTAAATGTAAACTGGCAAATGAACCTTTGTTGTAACTGGAGATTATCCACAATGTATAACTTTATTGTAATATAAATAGTTTGTTTAAAATATAAAAAGTACATGCAAAAAAAATTTCTTTGAAAAATTCAGTTTTCTGTAAACAGAATTTGCGGGCACACTAAAACAGTTTTTGAATTCGATATTTCACATTATGGTCAATAAAACACCCTATTAACGTAACCAAACATAATGAAACATAACTTAACCAATCCTAACCTTAACCAAAAGTAACAATAGATAGAGAATAGATAATATCACAAATTATGTAGTCATTCCAAGTCCATTCCTCGAGTGGCTCTCTTCCCCAAGGATAGCCTGTATATATAAATGATAAAGTAGACTTCCTATATGAATATTCTCACATCCAACACAATTATCGGCAAAGATACACAATAAATATATGGAGTTTACTGTTTACTGTATCACGGAAAATCATATAAGAAACTTAAAACTAAATGTGCTAACCATGCAAGATGTTGTTAGCTGCACCATGTCGTTAACACGATTATAATATATAATTATTATATTATCACCACAATTAGGTGAAGCACAATTAGGTGAGTACGACCCAACCATCCTTAACGACCTGTTCTGCTCCGTGTGTTGTTGTTGTTGAGTTAGGGGCGACGACGATCGTGGGATCGGATGCGCCCTGGCGTACCCGTGAAGGGTGAATCGCAAAGCCAGGAAAGGCGAAATGCTAAGCCAAAACGCGAAACGAGTGACGCCAAGCACCAGAAACTAATATGCCACACGGCAAAGCTACGCACAAAGGGAGAGGCAGAAGCACATAATAGAACACTGCTCCGTGTGTGTGTCTCAGTCATTCCAAGGTTTCCACCACCAACTGTTTTAATATCTTAATTTCTACCAATAGTTACCTTCAGATGAATTATACAAATGTAATGATCAAAATTTTAATGATTTCTTTGGAAACATTAACATTCATATATGGATCATATTCTTAACTAAAACATTCGAGTTGTCAGTATATTCCATTAATACAATATACCTGAAGAAACACAGACGTGATGTTAGTTTATTTTACGGAGTAATTTAAGTCTTATAGCGTCACCCCTAGGGGGAGAGAGAGGGGACAGTAGCGTTACTCTAGGAGGAGGAGAGAGAGAGGGCAGTAGCATCACTCTAGGAGGAGGAGAGAGAGAGGGCAGTAGCATCACTCTAGGAGGAGGAGAGAGAGAGGGCAGTAGCATCACTCTAGGAGGAGGAGAGAGAGAGGGCAGTAGCATCACTCTAGGAGGAGGAGAGAGAGAGGGCAGTAGCATCACTCTAGGAGGGGGAGAGAGAGAGGGCAGTAGCATCACTCTAGGAGGAGGAGAGAGAGAGGGCAGTAGCATCACTCTAGGAGGAGGAGAGAGAGAGGGCAGTAGCATCACTCTAGGAGGGGGAGAGAGAGAGGGCAGTAGCATCACTCTAGGAGGAGAGAGAGAGAGGGCAGTAGCATCACTCTAGGAGGAGGAGAGAGAGAGGGCAGTAGCGTCACTCTAGGAGGAGAGAGAGAGGGCAGTAGCATCACTCTTTTAAGAGGAGATAGAGGGCAGTAGCATCACTCTAGGAGGAGGAGAGAGAGGGCAATAACGTCACTCTAGGAGGAGGAGGAGGAGAGAGAGGGCAGTACCTTCACTCTAGGAGGAAGAGAGAGAGCGGGCAATAGCGTCACTCTAGGAGGAGGAGAGAGAGGGGGGGGGGTAGTAGCGTCACTTTAGGAGGAGAGAGAGGGCAGTAGCATCACTCTAGGAGGAGGAGAGAGAGGGCAATAACGTCACTCTAGGAGGAGGAGGAGGAGAGAGAGGGCAGTACCTTCACTCTAGGAGGAAGAGAGAGAGGGCAATAGCGTCACTCTAGGAGGAGGATAGAGAGAGGGGGGGTAGTAGCGTCACTTTAGGAGGAGAGAGAGGGCAGTAGCATCACTCTAGGAGGAGGAGAGAGAGGGCAGTAGCGTCACTCTAGGAAGAGGAGAGAGGGGGCAGTAGCGTCGCTCTAGGAGAACGAGGCGCTAGAGAGGACAGTAGCGTCGCTCTAGGAGAACGAGGGGCTAGAGAGGGCAGTGGCGTCGCTCTAGGAGAACGAGGGGCTAGAGAGGACAGTAGCGTCGCTCTAGAAGGAGGAGGGCTAGAGAGAGGGCGGTAGCAAGGCCCAGGAGGATGAAGGGAGTGGCCACAGTCTTCAGGTCAACACTGGTCACCACCAGCTGGTTACAGTCGCTTATGGGCGGCGTCCACGTCACCTTCCACTTGTTGATCAAGCCGAAGACCCACATATCCAGGATCCTACAAGAAAGAGCACAGTCGTAAATATGGAATTATCAAAAGAAAGTGCCAATCCTGGAAGACTTTTGCATTATACTCGCAATTAAATCTGTATTATATACATAAATAGAAGGAGCATCACTCCTGTATGCGGGTCATATAAAAAATACAGTACAATTAAAACAATAAACCTAAATATATAGGTAGAAATAGCCTAAGCTACTCTATCCCTTTGAGATGTATTTATTGCTTATCTCAATAAACATACTTGAACTTGAACCTACACACTGTTAAACAGGGGAATGAGAGGAGAGTCTTTCTTGAGCGCCAGAGAGCGTTGAATGGGGAACTCTGAGGAAGGTAAGATGAACACCCGACAGTCCGTGCCGAAGGTGTGGTAGATGGAAATGTCGGCCGAGATATAGAGGTATGGCTCCTGCAGGACGCGCTTCACCCCCTCCTCCAGGGACGGCACAAGGGACTCCATGTCGTTGGTGACGATCTTCTCCCACACCTTCCTGTGGGCCGGAGATGGCGACTCCTGCCAAAGATATCTCTACTCATACTTCTAGCATGGTTTTGTTAGCAGCTTCAAGCAGACACAAACATAATAATGAAACGATCTGTAACTGTTTATCCAGGTGTAGCGTCCTGGTGACTGGATTTACACGGGTGTAGCGTCCTGGTGACTGGATTTACACGGGTGTAGCGTCCTGGTGACTGGATTTACACGGGTGTAGCGTCCTGGTGACTGGATTTACACGGGTGTAGCGTCCTGGTGACTGGATTTACACGGGTGTAGCGTCCTGGTAACTGGATTTACACGGGTGTAGCGTCCTGGTAACTGGATTTACACGGGTGTAGCGTCCTGGTGACTATATTTACACGGGTGTAGCGTCCTGGTGACTGGATTTACACGGGTGTAGCGTCCTGGTGCCTGCATGCTAGCCTAACACTATTATACACCAACATTTCTTTAAAAATTTCATCTTGTGTGATGCCATAACAGCGCTTTGGGATTTATCGAATTAACATATGAAGTGTATGGATATAGACGCCACTACTTCTTCACCTAATAAGTGTTTAGAGCAAACTTTATACTTCTTCATGTGATAAGTATATAGAGCATTCCTCCACTACTTCCTTGCCTGATAAGTGCATAGAGCTACTTCAGAGAGAGGTGGTGCCAGCGGGATCCCACAGGGATCCTTACTATAGGTAATTGTTGGAAATTTCCGACACCCCAAGTACTAACCCTTGACACAATAAGGTAAAAACGTTGTGTTAAGATACTAACCTTACTAACCATACTAATAGTTTAGGAATTGAAAGTTCAGAAATTCTAGAACATGCAAAGGGATGATTGCGTCAGCTGTCACATGTTCACGGTGACTATTCCTTTGCCTAACACTTGATAAAAACTCCGTTTGCAATTTGCTTTCATTTGCGACTGCCATCTTAGATAGAGTTTACTCAATAACTAGATCGAATTCTTTGATTTTCTCTTTTTAGTAAAGTTTAAAACCGCCGTAAATAAGTGCTTCATGGAGGAAGAAGAATGATCATACTGGGAATTCTATCTCAATTTATTACTCCCTAAATTACTTAATTCTTTGCGGTTAGATATCAGAAACGGTACAAAACTGGTCATAGTAATTGAGGATAATAAAATCATTCATAAACCTAGCATATACCTCCTTTCATTCATAAATTTGCACCGAAAAGAGGTGCCGGAACTATCAGCTGTGACCGTCAACAACCTGTCCTCTTAAAAAGAACGTCGCTTTTGGCCGTTTGCCAGTATGGCCGAATTTGGACGTAATTTGAAAATGAAAAAAAAATGAAAATAAATTTGGGATTTCTTTTTTCAACAACAGTAAGTTAAGGGTCCTCTGATAGGTTAGGTGGGCAGGAAATTCTCATAAAGTTTCAAAACGTTATGAAAAACGCTAATTTAAAGTGTCCTGTTATAACCTCAGCTGTGAGGGAGGAGGTGAGGTAGGACACTGCGCACCAGCACAGTCGGTCAGCACATGGCGCTAGGGACGGACGGACGTACCACCGAGCTCGCGCTTTGGCGCCATATTTGTGTTTACAAGACAGAGAAGGGTGTCTCTCGGAGGTGCAAGATGAGCAGCAGAGTCGTGTCACAGAACAAATAAACCACGCATCGGACTGCCGCATTCTCCAAACACGTGTCCCGGTTGTATACCTTTCTTCTTTTATTACTAGATAATAAGATTAAGAATGATTAAGAATGAGGATTAAGGTAAGATTAGAATGAGTGAGGTAAGATTAGAATGTCAACCGGTTACGAGGGATATGTAATAAATAAACCCAGTAAGCTTCTGTCTTCCCTGGGTACTATCGAATATTCTTGCAATGTCTTTATAGCAGGTTGTAGCAATTAGTACATTGTGAAATACCGGCAGATCTACTGTGATGTGAGGAGGTACCCCCCCCCCCTGTTCCAGCACGACGGAGTACTGGAGGCAGTGACCACGAGGTCTACATTACATGCATGATCCAAAGTACCTACGGGCTCACCATAGCCCGTGCTACTTGGAACTGCTTGTTCCAGGTAGCGAATCTTTAACAACAACAACCTGTTGCCTTTCTCGTGTCCGAGCTAGTCTAGGAGGAATTCTTCTGACCAGCTATTATTAAAATTCTCACAATTAACCAATAGTAGTGTAGCATTCTAACCAATTCATTTAAATATTCTTATTTTAAAATTTCAGATGGGTTTAGCATTATTAAATCAGCCCCCAAATTTGTGTATAGGGAAACATCTAGCAGGAATTAAGCACAAACATGCATTCCACTTTATACAGCCCACTGACTCATAATAACTTTTAAATTTAAGTAAATACCTGCTGGAAAATTCCCCACAGTAATCTCTGGTCTATACAAGACTATATCTGCCTGAAACGCTATGCGTGTTAGTGGCTTTGCAAGAATGTAAAAGTACGAATCTTATGTAATCTCTCAAACCCATTGTGCCTTATTGTAAATAAAAATTATTATATAAATCGTGTACTTGACAGGATAGACGTCTTCATCTCACTCTTTGTTGATGAATCAAAAATAATAATGAAGATAAAAATGACGGAAAACTACAGAAAGCTACAGTGCCTAAACAAGCTGAAAACATGATCCAACAAGTGACTACTGGTTTAACTTGTGCAAGTGCAAAGTTGTGAAGCTGGGTGCCTGGGAGAGGAGGCTAGAAATAAAATACAAGAGAGAGGAAACCCTCCTGGATTCTGAGAGCAAAATAGTTATGTATTGTTATCGTGCCGAACCTATTGCTGTGTGCAAGGCTGGGACTCAACATACCTACCACCTTTAAATATCTGAACAGGGATTCCTTCAGGAGCATGAATACTATAAGTGACTGACCAATTCTGGAATATGCGACATCATTTGAACTCCTTACCTTTTTAGACATAGAAGTAAACCCGTAGAAAATCCAAAGGGTTACCACCATACTAGTACCAAAACTAAGCGGTGTGAGTTATGAGGAAAGACTTAAGGAAATACATGTGTACCCGGAAAAGTTCCTCAAGCGAGGAGCCTCTACGCCAGCCTACACCGAGGGAAGGATTACTGTTGACATCTGTAACGGAGTTGATCCGTGGGAGAGAGGGTCCGGCTGCCAGGGCAGAGATCAGGTCACTGTTGTAGTGGGCTATCAGTAGCAGCTGCAGCATCAGCACCGACACCACAACTATACGACCTGATGTAGACACCATCTTCACCCAAGTTCCTGAGAAGATAAATTTAATTACTACATACAGTAGCGGGCAGCAATGCAAAGGAAACTAGGAGCGGTGTGATGCATGATAACGCGTGAAAAATGATGTATACAGAAAATAAAGTTCGTGGAAATGTTGACACCCAAAAGATTTATTGAAATTGCTTGAGTCCAATAAGTCGTTGGCACTCAAGAAAAGTGATGAATGAGGATAAAACAAAATAAAAATTATACTGATTCAACAGAAAATAAGCGTACAATGAACTTTAATAAAATTAGATTTTTTTTTAGGTATGAGTAAAGAAGGCGCAAGTAAAGTCAATTAGATATTCATATATGCAAAATTGTGATGTATTAGGGTAATATGGAAGACTTTTACTACCATGGTAACACTTCTCAGACATGAAGGCAACGGTGGGGAGAATTTACGTCGAAGGTAGTAGTGAAATGAGATTAGAAATAGGTTAGACGGATTAGAAAAAGATAAAAGATCAGGGGTTGGGGAGAGGTTAGAGTTAGACAAGGTTAAAAGAGGTTAGTTGGGTTAGAAATAGGTTAAACATAGTTAGTTAAAAGTTTTTAGACAAGGTTAAACAGAAAACAAAACATATTCCAGACAGAAGAAAAGTTAAAGCAAGTAATAAAGCGACCAAATTTACGAAGAAACGTCTGGATCTGAATGTAAATAAAAAGATAGAAGTTGAAGGGAACACAAAAAGTGAACAAATGGGGGGAAGCGCAGACAGGCTTGGGGAACAGCAGCGCATCAGACGACAAGATGATTACCATAACACGTGTTCATAATATTAATTTAAAACTCTTGGGAAAAATGAGTACTCTGTAGGTTTATTTGCTGACATTCGTAAGGTTTTTGACACCGTTAACCACAATAACCTTCTTTAACTGCAACACTATAGAGTCAGAGGTCACTCCCTCCAATACCTGCAGGTCTTACCTCAATGACAGGTTTCAGTATGTCTCTATGAATGATGGTACTTCTCTTACCTTACCCATTAACATTGGTGTTCCAAAGTATACTCGGTCCTCTCTTCTTTCTCATTTACATCAATAACCTTCCAAATGCCTGTCAACAACTTAAGGCAATTTTGTTTACTGATGACACAACCTCCATTTTCTTCAGTCCTAAACCTCTTATTCTGAATGACATAGTAAATACTGAACTAAACAAAAAAGTCCATCTCTGGTTAACTGCTAACTCACCCGTAACATTGATAAAACCTTTGATATATTGTTTGGTTATAAATCCACAGATCAATTAACCTACGAATTAACAATACCAAAATTAGTAATAGAGTAGATAGTAAATTCCTTGGTGCTCTCATTGATAAGTTGAATTTCTAGTGTCTTATACAAAATCCAGCAATTTTTTTTAAAACAGTTGACATTCTTTCTAAAATCAGACACTTTGTACCTCGCTCTGTCCAGGTAATGCTTTAGTACTTGCTCATCTTTCCTTATCTCACCTATGGTATCTGTGCCTGGGGTTGTACTACCCAAAATTATCTTCACCCTCTAATTACTCATCATAAATCATCAATTAGAACAATAATAAACCTCGATAAAAGCCAAAACGTGTATAAATACACTCTGGCGTCCTGTCCCCAGACACAATGAAATATTTAGAAAAATGCTCTGCAAATCATGGGTCCCATATTTGGAATGACCTCGATTCCCTAATCACATCAAAGACTGACTTTGCCTCAACTAGTTTAAAAGAGAAACTAAGAACTAAGAACTATCTGATAAACTATGTAACCTACATTAATTCCTAAATGTCAACCTGTGTTTTGCTGTTATTGAACTTTAATTACTGAACCTGTATTATTGCTGTTGCCTGAAATGTTGAAATTAATAAAGCTCTCGTATTCTTTTCGTTTATGTTGTAAAATTAATATGTTCTGTTAATATTTTTCCTATTCCCATCATCGTGTAATAATTGTCATTTTGTATTGATGTACCTCAACTCATTATTGTTTTTGGTCTCATTTAGTATGAAGTCTTTTAGTTTTTAATCCATTTTATTCCCGAATCGCTCTGTGTAATAGTGGCTTTAGGCAGTGTACCTGGGCAACCCATGATTCATACAATCTTCTTATATCCTAAGTATAAATGTTTGTACTCTGGCATAAATAAAAATTATTATTATTATTATTATTATTATTATAGATGAATGATGGCTTGATGACTCAACATGCAGAGTGAATTGCACGGAGTATGGCAGATATATATTGGTGAGGAGGATTGGGTGGGCTGCTGACGAGAATACATAATGTTTTAGAGTACCTTTAATTTTTTTAATCTAATTAGTTTCTTTAGAGCCCCCCATACTCATTCAGTAGTTGTTGACAGAAAGTTAGTCATATAATGGGTACTTTTATCCTGATGATCACGTTAACCAGTTTTTCAGACAATACTTACCTTGTCCACAGAGGAAGCCGAAGATGACCAAAGCAGAGTCACTGAGGTTGAGGCGGACCTCTTGGCTTGAGTAGCGAGCCACAAGGCGCAGGGTGACGACAAGCACCACCAACACAACAAACACCACCATCCACACCTTCCACTGGAACTGACGCGTGTACGTCGACCACATCTGGTCTCCGGTGGTTGGCCGCCTCATTACTGTCTTATACCTGCCGGTCAGTACAGTAGTGACAATGTCCCGCCAAGACCCAAAGGGCACAACATGTACCATGGTTCTTGGGCTTAAGGAAAACCAACACAAGTATATGCGGAGTTTTTATTTTAATGTGTTACGATACAATTAATTAATGTTAAAGGAGCATGGGGCCCTGAGCAGAGTTTTACAGTCCTAGTAGAGGCAGGGGGCCCAAAGCGGAGTTTAGATAGCCCCCAAATGTATCCAACTATCCTGAGACCACATTGATGATTGCCTGGCTTTACATTGTAAACTAGGGAGACACTTTCCTCCCTTCCACCGAGTTTACACTACTTGCTACACTGTATGATCAGACTACCACCCCCATAACAACGGGCCCAATGCAACACTACATGCCAATCCTCTACAGGATTGCAACAGCATGCGTCAGTCCTTCACAGGACTGCAAAATTACATGTCAGCTCTCTACAGGACTGCAACACCATGTGCCAACCCTCCATAAGACTATAACAGCCATCCATGCCCATTAGATCTACACAATATAATTTTCAACTGCATAAAATGGACCCTCCCCCCCCCCTCACCACACCAAATGTTACTAACCAGGACTCTTGGCTTGCACTTAACTGACCTCTACATACAGGGCAGTTAAACTTGACTTCTTGGTGTATACAGGACTCTACTCAGCTGCCATCGTCGTCATCGTCGATCACCGGGTTATGCTTAACTGAATATCTTATGTTCTCAATTACCTTTTTATACCACAATTTATCACTATAATTTATTGTAACTTTTATTTCAGTGTTTGTTAAATTAGTATTTCATTCAGTAGCTTGCATTACTTATGGTTTGTGGCTGTATCTTATCCACCGAGACATCTTTGACTTAGTGTAAAAGCCCCGGGTGGCTGTGTGTCTAGACGGCCTTAGTGTACACATCTTGAGGTTATCTTGAGATGATTTCGGGGCTTAGCGTCCCCGCGGCCCGGTCCTCGACCAGGCCTCCTTGTTTGTTCTCCCCCCCCCCCTCCCAAGAAGCAGCCCATAGCAGCTGTCTAACTCCCAGGTACCTATTTACTGTTAGATGAACAGGTGCATCAGGGTGAAAGAAACTCTGCCAAATTTGTTTTCGCCTCCACCGGGGATCAAACCCGGAGCCTCAAGACTACGAATCTGAAGCGCTTTCCACTCAGCTGTCAGGCCTCTGGCTGGATGTCCAGACAGCCTGGTGAGCCATGTGATGGCAGGGGCTAGGTGTGAGGATGGGTTCTAGGTGTAAGGGCAGTTACTAGGTGTGAGGATGGGTACTAGGTATAAGGGCTGTTACTAGGTGTGAGGATGGGTACTAGGTATAAGGGCAGTTACTAGGTGTGAGGATGGGTTCTAGGTGTAAGGGCAGTTACTAGGTGTGAGGATGGGTACTAGGTGTAAGGGCAGTTACTAGGTGTGAGGATGGGTTCTAGGTGTAAGGGCAGTTACTAGGTGTGAGGATGGGTACTAGGTGTAAGGGCTGTTACTAGGTGTGAGGATGGGTACTAGGTATAAGGGCAGTTACTAGGTGTGAGGATGGGTACTAGGTATAAGGGCAGTTACTAGGTGTGAGGATGGGTACTAGGTATAAGGGCAGTTACTAGGTGTGAGGATGGGTACTAGGTGTAAGGGCAGTTACTAGGTGTGAGGATGGGTACTAGGTATAAGGGCAGTTACTAGGTGTTAGGGTGGGTACTAGGTATAAGGGCAGTTACTAGGTGTGAGGATGGGTACTAGGTGTAAGGGCAGTTACTAGGTGTGAGGATGGGTACTAGGTGTAAGGGCAGTTACTAGGTGTGAGGATGGGTACTAGGTGTAAGGGCAGTTACTAGGTGTGAGGATGGGTTCTAGGTGTAAGGGCAGTTACTAGGTGTGAGGATGGGTACTAGGTGTAAGGGCAGTTACTAGGTGTGAGGATGGGTACTAGGTATAAGGGCAGTTACTAGGTTTGAGGATGGGTACTAGGTATAAGGGCAGTTACTAGGTGTGAGGATGGGTACTAGGTGTAGGGGCAGTTACTAGGTGTGAGGATGGGTACTAGGTATAAGGGCAGTTACTAGGTGTGAGGATGGGTACTAGGTGTAGGGGCAGTTACTAGGTGTCCGCGCAGGTGCTAGGTGTGATTAGTGGAAACCCAGACGGGGACCGGTCATTTTAGCTTTTGCCGACGCCGGTCCCTGTCAGGGCTGTTTTTCGTTACCTCGGCGACACCCGGATTCCGTCTGGGTCGTTTTTCTTTACCTCAGCGACTTACCTCCCCTTCTAGGACGTTTTCGTTTCCTAGGCAACTGATTGGTCGTAGCCCATTAGGTGTTTTTCATTTGTCCATTGTGATT